TATATTATATCTATATCTATCTATATGCATATATGTATATCATATATATACATATATATATATATATATATATATATATATATAAACTGACTATGCAATACTTCTGGAGCGCGTCGCATACTATTGTATCTTTTCCTACTCTTCTGTGCCTATCCGACAATTATTAATACGTGATCTGACCGTCATGTAGATATCCGGGATTTGGTTTCACTCGACGATGTAACGGAGGACGAGGAGCTCAACTTCGGCCCCAATGGTGGCTTACTGTATTGCATGGAGTAAGTGCTCAAAACTGCTCACCGGTGTACTGTGTGATTGAGATTCCTGATGCTGATTCGGCACTCTAGCTCAAATACATGTCATGCATGAAGTGATGAAGAAATGTGTGTATGTGGACATTTATAGCTTATAGATGATTGTATGGATGTTTGCATACGTGTCTATCTGTATTCATCAGCGTATCACTTTCGATTCAGAATTTCAAGATAGCATCACTATAACTACACTGTCAACTGTGATTTATAGTTGAACTGCCAAGTGTGACGGTATGCGGTTGTGTTTTGATCAGCTATTTCTAGCGTATGGTAGGGAGTAATCTAGTAATCTACGCCTGTCATCGTGCAAGTATTAGTCTGTTTTGAAATATTCTCAATAGAGCGTGCAGCAATGATCGGGTTTCTGTACATCAGATACATCGACCTCAGCTTAGCGCGTGTATCGTTTACTATTTGCAGTTGCATGGTGGAGTAGGAACTTGTTCGAGGTATGAAACATCTCTCTCCTAGGCAACACTAAGGAGCTAGTCTATGTGCATGCTATCACGAACAAATAACATACGCGCGTAGCGTTGATTAAATTTACAGCCCACTTGTTATGAGCAATGCACAAGTTGGACTTCTTTCTTGGTTATTTATCACCAAGGGGTTGGTTGGGGAGGGGGAGGAGCAGGATGTCGTCAGCTCACATCTTGAATATCATCGTTACCCATATACTCGATAGCCTATTATTGGCCTAAAGGTGAAGGTCTGTGGTGGTGTTCAGCGTATCCCTCACTTAGTACGCATAAGTATCAATATACACAAACAACCCGATTCCTATGATTTCACTTAGATGAACTTCCGTTTCTGTCCTCGCAGATTTCTGACGGAGAACCTGACGTGGCTTAGGGATGAGCTCGAGGATTACGACGAAGACTATATCATCATAGACTGTCCAGGTAATATTTGAGAGTTGTTAAATGAATATAAATATACTCAGTCAGAGATATGATTTGTACAAATACATGTATGCATACAATATGGTATGCAATCGATGTGAAGTATACTGCGTTGTAAGCGTACCCAAGTTTCATGTGCCTCGCTTCTCCTCAAATGACTTTCACTTACGATCACTTTGGAGCCGATTTTTGCGGCACTATACCAGCCACCATGTTATCCTATAATCCTATCAGCAGCGTGGCCCACATAGCTATGCGGTAATTTCAAAGGCTAATATATAATTCATTGAATAAACTTCCAATCGATCAGGCTAGAGGTATTGCGGTATATTGAGTATGGTCACGTAAGATTGGTTTTCTCTCGTCATACCCTATTAGACACGCAGCATAAGGTCGGGCTAATAATCCCGACGTTTTTAGCAGATCAGAGAATCGAAATACTGTTCACGTATTGAGAGTGGCTCTGATCCCATCTTACTTGATTTTCGGGTTCAGGTCAGATTGAGTTGTATTCGCATTTCGACTATATGAAGACGCTCGTCACAGCTTTGCAGGAGTGGGACTTCCGGGTTTGCTGTGTATATTTAATGGATGCACAGTTTATGGCAGGTATGGTTTGTGATAGGTGTCGAAAAAGTTATGCTGGTTATCAATTTCTGTAGAAAAAACCTACCAGTTGATATTTTGAAAAGTGCATATATTATAATATATTTTCTCACACAGTTGCGTGTTGTAATAGTATAATATTGTGCAATTAAGCGTGATGTTTACGACTCAACTCATAGGCATGTATACATTGTATTTTTCGTGATTACTCATGCACATGCAGATACACCCAGATATCTATAGCCTCATCTGCAAATGATCTGAGCATATATTTTACATGCGTTTATGTTACTTCACATGAATACGAACTTATACATTGAATTGTGTGACGCATTGCAAATTTATTTTTCGTTTGATACTCACCGAGACACAAATGTTGTATTTGAGGGGCTCTCAATATACATTCAATCGTGGTTTTGCTAGAAAATGAATTCATTGCAACACCGCGGAATACAGAAGTTAGTACTGTCCAGCTACTACTCTTTGGTAAACTCCATATGTGAAATGAGAAAGTACGATTTTTCTGCACGTCTGAGTATATACTCTCCATGGAGGCTGAGTTGTTCATATGTGAATACGTATATGTATAGTAATTGCATGCAGACAGGGTCAACAGACAGATGTTTCTTGATGTTTTGGTAGTTTGTTGTGGATAACTAGGCCGATTCATATCGAAAGTGTATAAATATTAAACTGCACTTTTCCAGACTGTTATCGTATGTGATGCTCCCGAGCAATAGCTACTGCAGCGAGAAATTCAAAGCAGGAATGGTATAGCTACACAGCCAATAGCGCTACAAACATGCGAAAACTTCGCAACGCATACTTACGTCTTCCTGAAGTTATGATCAACTTCCTTCGTGCCACCCACTTCACACAGATAGCGCCAAGTTTTTCGCGGGCGTGTTAAGTGCGCTGTCTGCGATGATTCGTTTGGAGGTACCGCACGTCAATGTTCTAACGAAGATGGATTTAGTAGATAACCCCAGGAGTCGACAGGTGGAAAGGTACAAATCTTTTCTTTTATCAGTGTTTACATGCAAGATTGATGTTCGATCTACTTCTGTGTTAGTGCTCGAATTTGGTATATACTTTCAATTTGACCTCTACCCTGTCCCACACTACTGTCTCTAGGGTATACAGATAGAGGGGTTTATCGGATTGGACTTTGTACGCTATGTTGTGCCTTTGGGAATTCGTATCGTTTGACGTGCTGTGTGCTGACTTAGCATTACGTTGCTTTTTGCCACACTTCAGGTTCTTTCAGGCGGATTCGACGCTTTTGACAATCGATGGAGCGAGCCATCTCTCCGAAAAGTTTTACAAACTAAACGAAGCGATAGCTGGTCTGGTAGGTATTCTGGGAGTGCGCTCGTATTCACACATTGCCTGCAAGCCTTTTATGCACTAGTCTTTCATAGTTACATGTAGCCACATAATTGTGCAACGAATATTGAGCAAATTTTACGTAGTATACAGTAAGATTGGCACTCATCGAAGAGTTCAGTGTGCGTACAATGCTCAAGATCGCCACTATATAAGTAGTGATGGATAGTGCCGTGTGGGATGATTGTTTAGCCGAAATCCATCCCGAACCCTACTGAAAGGATTCCATAGCCCCTTATATATACACACGCATAAGTAAAATCTATCATGGCTAGCTTAATGATGGATACTAACCGTCTTCTTCGTTACTTTATATTTCAGGTAGATGAGTGGAGTATGGTTAGCTTCCTGCCCATAGATCGCACGGATTCAGATAGTATTTCCATAGTAATGCAACAAATAGACAACGCTGTGCAGTACGGTGAGGATGCAGAGCCTAAGGGTGAAGTAGTAAGTTATAGTGTGATTTAGTGTCATTTCTTTCAATTGCGGTGTCTCTTTTTTTAATTTTTTGGCTTCTCGCTATATATTTGATGGACGGAACGATACAACCGCGCCAGAAAAAAAACTACGTTGTTGTGTGTTGCTGTTTGATTCTATTTCATATTATATGTACGTCTCGAGTTGGTTTCGTACTAAACTCCATCGTGAGGTGGTCAAACACGCATACTCACTCACAGTTTGTCATTTTACAGCCGGATTTCGAGGACGAGCAAAGAGACGATTAGTATTACAAATTACATTAAACATAAAAAGCGCTGGATGTGTAAATATCACGAATTCATTACTACAACATATGGATAGCATCTTTTCAGCACAAATTGTATCTTGTATTCAGAACGTGCAAAACACAATCATCAATCAAGCTGCATGTTTTTTGCTGTTTTTTCCTCAAGAAGATAGTACCGTCGTTGTTGAATGAAAGTCATGAAATAACTTGTATCCTAGATATGAGTACGAATGTCTCTCCATATTAGTTGAATACAGGTAAAAAATGGTGTGGAAACACAGGAGGGAAATCATACAAATCTCACCAGGGGATTTTAGCGGAATTTCGATTTAGTCCCCACTAAAATAGCAGCCTCTCTGTGAGAAGAGTGAATGTATATAGCTAAAACCTCACTTCATAGCTTTAAAGCTGCGGCCTGGGTTGTATGCTCGAACATTTTTCTACAACTCAAACTATATTTTACTTTGGCATACTACGTGAATACTATTTAGCTACCTGCATAATCACGTGCCAGTTTATTTCTACAGAAGTATGGCACTTACAAAATACAAATACATTTAAAACTATTCTAGGTCTAGTCACAATGGAAACGCGGCAACAGGTTGGCCTCTCTTAACTGTGTACATTCTTTCCGCATTATACTGACGTACTGATATATTTTTGTAAAGATTTTAATAATAAACCAGTTTGTAAAAGAAACATGTATTGTAAAGATTCTAAAGCAAAATTTTACTAAACAAGTGTATTCAAGATGGCGATCTATGCTAAGGCGGCTATTTCCACTGCTTGATGAGATGTTATGGTGGCGATGAATGTACAAGGGCATATGGTTTTAGATGTGTCGAATGATCACAGTTGGCAATCTCACACCGAAGATTGAGTGTCATGTGCGTAAAACGTTTGGAAAGAGAGTGCTGAGGATCAGCAATTACTTCATATTACAAGCAGCTTTGTGGTAGTTAAGTATGGCGACGACAGTGAACAAGAAATCGTTTGTGCGAGAACATATATTTTCAATATTGACATTCTACAATAGTGCACAAAAGTCGATATTTAATTATATTTTATATATATAAATTATATTAATGAAATACGTTTATATTAGGAAGGCCAACGATTTTCCTGTTTTTCTGGTCTTCAGAAGCTGCCAGAGGGTGTAGTAATCTATTGTAGTATTTATACCTGTAGCTGACAACACACTTTTTCGACAAACGGTTTATTGGACAACACCCCGAGTATCTAGCTTCTGTCTCGGGTGTCTACAAAGTTGTCTGTCTACTTATATACTCGTTTAGCCCTGCAAGACCATTAACTGACTGCGCCGCATCCTTGTCCACTTGCTCGGCATCTCTGCTAATGGACAACTACCAAGGAGTACATACTTCCCTCGATGGACAACTAGCCAGGAGATACTATCTCCTCTGCACTAGGTGTTCATCTTTCTCTCTGTCATGTGGTTCTCTGATGTTTCTCGGTACCTAGTACCGAACTGTACCTCTGTTGCAGTGGCATCCCTCCAGGAACGGTCAGTTGTCACTGCAGCGTCCCTCACGCTCACCGAGGAGCCCTTGAATAATAAAAGACATAGCTCTCGACGACACCTTCATTGCTGCATGCGCTGCTATACATTACCGATGAGCGCATCTCTTTATCATTTCACTGTATGTCATATATGTCATTTATTTCGCAAACACTATTCTCACTGAACAGTATCCGGGTGACCCAGTCATCCAACTTTTTCCTACGAAAGTCCAGTTGTAACGCAAACTGGTAGCACAGCACTTCTCCAGCTCTTCACATGCCTCACCCTCGGAAGTCCCAATCTGAACGCACATGTTTATCCTTGCGTGCAAGCACCACCCACCCATTGCCGTCCAATACGTGTTAACACTACTCTGCCAACTAAAAGCTTCCGGACACGACGTCAGGGCTTCGACAACTTCATCTCGTTCATTAGCCGATGCTTCCTTGGACGGTGGCTCGTACATCTGTTGATATCATGAGCGCACTGCTGCTTCGCTTGCAACGCTGAATCAAGGAAGGATAGATGCAAACGGAGAAAACTGTGGAAGGGAAGAAGTTTGTGAACGACATAAGTAAACTACCAACGATATACAGACTTGATCGAAAGGACAGTAAGGACCCAATCGATACGAGCAGTCTGGTATTGTTATCTAGATTCTTAAAAGTATTTAAACAGATCATGCTCACTGCAAATCTATGGAAGAACCTATGGCTCGAGACAGCACAACAGAACTTTAAGCCGTCATCTTATAAATATATTAAGTTGGAGAAGGCTAAGGAGGCTATTAGTAAGCTGAAGACGTGGAAAGAGCAGTGTGAGATGATCGTGCATCTATTCTCGACGGACCCTCGACCGGAACTTTTGGTAACAATCATGGTACCGCCGGACAAAGGAACGCCAGTATTCCACCACCTATTGGAGTTAAATACGCTTATGTCACGGGCTCAAACTCAGTTGATGTCACCTGATAAGTTGAGCATGTGTGTGCTGTGGGTACAGACGATATTTTGGTCTAATCTTCACAGAAAGGATCAGGAGATATTATATGCCGACATGCATCAATCTCACCCTGACAATTACCGGTTTACCTACCAACATTGACCCTCAGAAGGACCAGTCGGACGACAACCTATTGAAGCCGGTGTATACACCTTCGAAGACCGTGAAGGAGATGATACCTCATTTCACGGAGAAACATAAGGATAAGATTTTCGAGAATGACAAGATCAAGATCACGGACCGGGCTAAGTTCAAATTCAACAATGGATATATGAGCCTAGACTTGACCAAGGTCGACTTTTCGAAGCTGAGGTGTCCAACACGCAACTACATTGCATGGCGTCATGAGCAAGTCATACGAGAACAGGTGAAGGCATGGTTAGATGATGGGGTGATTGCAGTCAACTACGAATCAACTCCAGTCAACCTAGCTCTCTTGGCAGTCGACCAATTTAACTCTGACGGAACGCTGAAGAAGTTTTCACCTACCGAGGATAAATGAATTGCTGAGGCGCAGGGAGGGAGCTATCACCAGATGTTTTTAGGGTTTTAGATGGTCAACAATATTCATTTCGGTTTACACATGTTACCAGCCTTCTTTCAACAGATCATGCTGGATTTGTTTCGAGATATAGATAATGTGCAATAGCCGTATTTATCAAGACCGAAGAGGAACAACACGACAAAGCTGAGCTTGAGGTATTAGATAGACTAAGCAAACACCACTTCAAAGTCAACAGCAAGAAATGACACGTCAATTTGGCGTTAACGAGATTCAGCTGTTGGGCTGTCGCTGATCGACTACGGAAAAGTGGAACACTTGCTAGACTGGAGAACTCCTATCACAGGTAAGGATGTAAACAGCATGTGTGGCTTCGTCAACTATTTGTCTGATGGGGTTCTGACCACACTTAGCAAGTTACCAATAACCTTTTGGACATTTGAGATGCCACAAAGGTATATTAGGAGCGCTGAGGACCAAAGACTGTGATGAGGTCTTTAAACAGCTCAAAACAGTGGTCCAACAAGCGCCAGTAGTTCAGATCAAAGGATGAAAAACCGTTTTTTTTATGGCGACAGATGCGCCCGACATGGCACTCGGAGGCTTTCTGTATCAAATGATTGATGGAAACCAAGATATGCACAGGTCTTTAGCAGGGGTATGGCTCGTCTAAGATCTACTACCCGAAAGTGCAACAAGAGAAGGACTCCTTGTATGGCACACACTTTAACGTGATATGCTATCATAAATCATTGCAGCAGCTAAAATAAATGAAACCTAACTCACAGTTAGTCAGTCGGTGGCAAGATACGATCGCAAAATTTTCATTTGGCACAACACACATCCCAGGTGTACATAATCGTTTACCGGATATACTGTCACGCCTTGTATCGGACTTCAACAAGATGGTGCGGGAGTTACTCGCTACGGATTGGATGGCCAATCCTAGATGGTTCAAAATCGGAGACAACATGTGGATCACATACAATAGATACGTTTGCAGTTCATCATACTGGGCGATGGCCGCGATACAAAACTGTGAAACACCCAGAAGGTGATGAATTTCATATTTTAACTGACGAAAATGCGTGGGCGAATCCGGAATCCACCGTAATTGCTGATGCCACAGTTGCTAAATTATGTTCATATACAGGATGCTACCATCACGTTGTGTTGTTCCTTTCGACATTCGGATAAACGATTGACACAATTGATTTCAATGATTCAAATGTGAGCCAATTTACGTGGGTAGAGAGGTAAATACTTCTCTCTATCAGGGTGCCCGTGCAGTCCAGAAGACGCCTTGACGACGTACAATAATATGTCGGATAGGTCCAGTTGGAACGACCAAGTGAACACATTCTGAGACCTTTAAGCGTAAGGTCAAAGAATCCAATATTTCACTCTTGACACTAGGGTCTCAAACCGAGACCAAGACAACACAAGCACCTGCAGTATGCATTACCGAGGTACGTCCAAATTCCAACGAATCAAAGAGGAGCGCGACACTAGCGAATGCATTCTACAAGATAAGTTCAGACAGAGCAATGGCTTACAAAGCCGAGACCAGGTTACTTAAGCAGCTGATGAATATATGACCCAACTGATGGATAAATCAAACATCAGTCAGATTCATAATGTAGAACCTTCTAGCGAGATTCGACGAGACGAGTCGTCGAGTCCAGGTGAAGAAGCAGTGGAATCATCACCTTCTGATTTTGATGTAATGGAATCATCGGAGGAGGCTATTCTGAAGTGGTTAAGACAAAAATCATACTCTTAAGCACATGTACAAGGTTAGAACTGAAAAAGATTGCAAAAGGTACGGAATTATACACCCGAACCTTAAGCAATATATATCTCAGGTGTATCATGAATGCAACAACTTCGAAGTGAACCGGATCAAGCGCCACGGATACCCACTTTTAAGCAGCGTATCTGAAGACGCGCCGTGGCGCAGTGTTATCATTGATTTGGTTGAGCTACCCACGTCCGAACACACGAAAGAAAAGTATGCCTGTCACGTGTTTGATGTTGCTTCAAGATATTACGTCTTATATCATCTGAAAGATAAATCAACACAAACTGTGGCTGAGTGCATAAATAAATGTTTTGCAGATTTCGGCTGGCCAGCTGTTGTATGTTCCGACAACGGCAGTGAGTTTACAGAAGATGTCATGACGACACTGTTTCTCGTTGCGGGATCATGCCATAAGATGGGTGTACTTTTACAAGGTGAGAATGAGGTCGACACAGAAAGATGAAATTGTTCATGCGTGGAGCACTATAAGATGATGCTGACACGTGGCCTTACTCGATTTATTCGGTACAGACAGAAATGTGTTAGGTCTCGTTTAAGAGATGATGGTTAGTTCACGGGCTTGATAGCCGGTACTGCTGTTTGAGTTGGCAACCCAGGGTTAGAATTAAATGGATGTACAGATTGTTCTGGTGTAAGCGTAGGATATTCAGTATGAAGATTAGTAGTAGGAGGTTTGGTCCAACATCATTGGCGTGTTCCCTTATTCTTCTTAAGGTCAGCACGGGTTTTTTTTCTCCAATAGCACGTTCTTGTTTTGGATCCAATTTAAACACCGAGAGTTTGCGCTTAGTTAACGACATGATAGGGACCATATTTCCGGGGACTGAGTTATGTATACCCGGGGGAGGACAAGTAGTGCCCAGTTGGCGCCAGAAAGTAGTTGGGAGTGGAAAATAGTTTGCAGGTTTGCACTGTTTACTAATTATAATACCTGCTAGAGTATACTTCCATGGGGCACGCCTAAAGCTGTTTTCCCATTCTTGAGGTATATATCTTGAGTATGCTTGATCAGGATAGGGTCCTCCAACAGCGAATGAAAAAATGTAGATAACCAAGAGCAATTTGTCCAATGAGGAACGATGGCTGTTGCCTTGCAGTTTATGGCCGTGGAAAAACGGTCACAAAGGTCAGATGCCAAGGGCCATGGTGGGTTGGCTAGAACAAAGGCATTATCAAGTTTAAATGTTTGGGAATTGCAGCCTTCCGTATCACCATAACTTGCATACAAGTCTACAGAAGGACCCCCCCTTTCCTAAACAATACCGTTATCCAACAACGGTTGAGTAAGAGCTCATCCGAATAGGCGGAAGCATGCGGAGATAAGTGGGCGACCAGCAACGGTTCTTTTTCCGGTATAGGAGCCCATGAGACATGCTTATGTGTAAATCATTATAGGGTCCAGTTTTGCAGGGCAACGTGATAGCATATGTGCCACGTAATTCCATTCACCCGAGATATGGCGGATATCGATGGTGTGGCGGCGTACTTTCTCTACTAGTCGTTATAAACGATTCCCACGGACCGAGGGAGTGAAAGTCATATTAGGATGGAAAAAGGACATTCAGTTCTCGTGATCCGTCCAGATTGTTAACGGGTTATAGTTTGCCGTTATAGCTATTTCGTCCTTGTCGATACCATAGGCTACAGCCATAGTTTCAAGGTCAGCAATATGATACCGTCGTTGTGCTACATTGAGCTTCGTACTGCGATATGCAAAAGAGAAAAGTCGGTCTATACCATTGATACAGAAGCCGTCTATCCGTGGGTCGATTACATGCTTCAGATCCTTAAGCATATTTATGGCACAGGATAGTTGCTGAGCTCGGCATATGTAAAGATTTTTCCGTGATGATAGTCTTTCTTGCTGGTTTCGGCGGACCCTTTTATGATACGGGAGCGTCAAATTAACTGTCACTGAGGGGGAAGCCGGACGTTTTTTAATTAGAACAGTGTCCGTAGTTGGGCTCATATTCCGAAGCGATTTGGTGGTTGGTTGCTTTACGAATATATTCGTGGGTTTATTTTGTAGAATACGGTTCTCCTGTAAAGCTGCCTCAGCTGAAACCATTCGCTTTGAACTCAAAGGTTGTACCCAACCAGTTGGGAAAGGTGCCGGGGCTCGTCTTTGCGAGGGATACGAATAAACATGCCCGTGCCAATACCAATATTAGAAGCATCATAAAACATATGGAGGTAATGGCTGGGGTTTGAGGTTACTAACATGATACAACCTTGAATGGATTGCTGAACCGATGTGTAAGCTGCGTGGCATGCTGCCGTGTAAACGAATTTAACATTTTTAGATGTTAAGTCGGTGAGAGGAGCAAGCATTGTTGCGAGATTTGGTATGTATTGCGACCACCAGTTCATAGTGGCGCAAAACCTTTGGACTTCCTCCTTATTTTTGGGGGGAGGTATTGACACATTAGCCTTCAATCGGTCTTCCGAAATGGTAGTATAGTTTTGAATAGTATCACGTCCATAATAGTGTTTGACCGAGTCACGGAGGCCGAATGCCAGCCACTTTGCATATGTGGGCATACTGCAAAAGAGCATTCCAATGTCTGGTAATTGCTTGTCGGCCAGCATGTGACACAGCACCATTGTCAGCATAATGCTTTAGGACTTCCCGTAACGAAGCAAAGAACTTGTCCACAGTCGCTTGGAGCTCATAGGTCATCATCTTGACCCCCAAACACCCCATATATGGGTCGCCAAACGTTACCAGTTGAGGTCATCCATGTTGAGGTATTGACGCGACTCTTTGTCATACTTTAATTGGTTAAAGCTACAGGCCATGTCTATGGTAGACACTACGTCACCTCTTCTGATATGGTCTAAACATTTCTGTTCAGTTGGTAGTGGGTACGGATCCACGTCAAAGTTTCCATTATTTACTTTGTAATTTTGACAATATCGGATGTCCTTTATGGACTTTGGTGGTACTCGGGGATCTTTCTTGGCCATGACGGCACTGCTCATCCAAGGACTGAAATAGTCACCCGGTTCAATGATGCCACGTTTGTAATTGCGAGTACATATTACTTTCTCCCACTGTATGTATCGAAGGTCTTTCTGCTTGTATATTATACGTCTTGGTTTCGCATTCAGTTTCAACTTGATATGGACCTCTAGGCCCCAGACGTGGTTATGGTTGTTCTCGTTATAGCGTATATTGTGGAATCCATCCTTGAGTTCCTGAATTTGTTCAGGTGTCTTATGTATAATGTTGGCAATGCGATAAATACCATCCCAGTTGTACACTTCCAGGCCGTCTGGTTTATCGGCAGATCTGCGGTAGAACTCCATGATTGCAGATGCATCAAAGGCTACCGGTATAAGAACACCCATGTAAGGGTTCTGTAGCAACTTATGCACAATGCACTACAGAAAGGTTTGAGGTTGATCATTATGAACATCCTTTGGAAATTTAAGGCCAAATATGGGAGGGGATGTTAACTGGTCCCAATGGGTAACAAGTAAATTAGTTCGTTGGGCACAGAAACTTAGTAAGAAGTCATAGTTCATAGGTACTTTACCATCAGTTAAATAAAAAACTTCCTCACTTGTTTCTGTCAAAGTAAGTTTTCTGGTTAGTAAAGTTATAAACTCGGATCAAAACAGTAGTTTTACACTGTTGTGTAGGTGGTATTAAAGTACATCCACCAAAAGTATTTATAAATTCGGGCTCGATATCTTCAATAGCTAGTCCTACATCAACTGCAAATTGTTTATTAACAAAATTTGGCATAGTACCATCATCAGCATCACATAAAGCTGGGGTGGGTGAGAAGAAAGCCTCCACTATCGGCCCGTCAAGTCTTCAATTATTGACTTGTAGGTTGCCAGTGAAACGCTCATTGGGTAATTTGGCAATGTGGTGACCAGGCTGCAATGTGGACAAAGTGTAGAAATACGGCCTCCGGTCAGTCTAAACTATCAAGTTCAAATGAGATAACACAATGGTTTTTATTTGTATTTAAAATAACTTAATTCAAGTTCTTTTTCCAATATTTCCAAAGTGTTCTAAATTCACTTTGATGGCTCCAATAGCCTGAGTATTTGGTATGACTCATTTACTTGGACCTATTTGAAACGATAGTAGATGTAGGATATTATAAACTAAATTTTATAATCTCTGAACTACTACTTACAGGTTTTGGTCTTCCCGCCAATCTCCAAAATCCAATAAGTCTTTTTCTTTTTTATTATATTTTCTTCATATGGAACTTTATTTATATGAGCTAATGTATCAACTTGACTTACGTTCTTATGTCTATCTACAAATTAGACATGTGGTCATGAACACTTAGTACTTCTAGTGAAAATTATTCAACAACAAAAAACAGCTAGAGGTACGTCCTGTGTGATCGAGGATATTAAGGCTCTTGCCAAGAGGCAGTCCCGATCATTCTTACACAAGTTACCACTACTAAATCCTAACTTACTTGAATTGTATCTTAGTTTATATAACATAGTTTAAAACATAGAAACATCCATCGAAGTTTACAGGTTTACGTTTTTTTAACAGCGATGACGGGACCCAAGACTAGACCGTTGCCTACGGTGGGTAAGCAAGCCTGTGACCGGCTGCTGAAACGGTTACTTGGAGCTCTTCGCCGTTTAACCGCGCTATGCGATAAGGTGGAGACGGCACGTGCCAAGAAACCTGCACCCAGAGACGACGAGAAGGTGGAAATCCATTTGGAATTGACCCGTTTGCTTTCGGAGGCCCAATACTCAATCAGAACCTTGGTTAGGCTTAGACAATCCCCAAACTGGATTTCTGATCAAGCAGGAGGCCACGAAAAATATTCATCTCATTCAAGAGCAACTTCGCCAACTCCGTGAATTGTCACTGGCGGATATTGTCACGTCTGCGCCCCAGGACACGGCCCAGGCGACAGTGGGTGATGATTTTTCTGAGACTCAGGCCGCACCAGCGGTGTAACAACATTGGTCTTCCCAGTACCCCATACAGGCAGGGTCGACATCAACCGACCAGTTACCTGACAGCGGGGCTATCAACATGAAGCAAATTATCCCTGTGAAACGCAGGATTGGCCGCACGAAGCTTGTACCTTAAATGGCTCCGTATAATAGTGTTGTAATAGCCGGGCCTCCACATTAGACCATGCTCTACATACGTACTCTTAAGCAGTACATAAACTATAAACGTACTCTTAATAGTACGTGAACCAAATGGTTTTTAACGGTTCTATTTAAAAGTACCTTTTCCATTTTACATATCAGATGTTTGGATGAAGGCCATTAAAAGGCCCGATTAAAATGCCAAAGATAGGATTTGGAATAGTTTTATTTATAGAACTATATTTTATTACAAATCTATTTATATCTGAATACTTCGGTAGCGAGATGGCTCAACCGAAAATAGGTTTCTAGGGACTATTAATGTTACCTACTTGATCCTCCGTTCAGCCAACCAGATGTGCCAGTCTGATGATGGCAAGTCGGTAATTCTTGATAAGTGGAAAGTTATCGGTTAAGATAATAACAAAAGATGTCAAGAGTATTTTCTTTTTCTTTTTACTATTTTTTTCTAAAGATAGTATTTTAAGAGTCTTTCGAATTCGATCGAACAACGAAAAGATAAATAAAATCCCTTCGGCGAAAACAGTACTGAGAGGATTATATATAGGCAATGTCTCAGCCTCACAATCCCTCATAGAGTATTGCTGTTTTCACGAGGCAAACCTAACTTTACTAAAAGACTAATTACGTTTATTTTGCTTTAATTTCATTTTGAGCTTTAGAAGACTTTATTACGTTTAACTACTCTAAGACGTTAATATCGCCTTAGGAGACCGAAATCTACACATTTTAAAATTGACAAAGGTATTAATTACTTAGACTACTTAAACGTAAAGGTAGACAACTACCACAAAAAAATTATTGTCCAAGCGAGTCCTTATGAGACCAGCTAGCAGTCATAAGTTAAGTTTCTGACCAAGAAAGACAATACTCCTTCTAAGAAGCGTAGAGCTGAAAAGAAGAGGATGGAGAGAGACGCCGCTGCTGCAGCCGTATTTAACGCGACCGCAGAAGAGGAAAATCAATCAGTAACCGAAATCATTGCTACTGGTATTAATAACCAGGACAATACAACAGATAAGGGTGAAGACACTCCATTAAGAGAGAAGTCTCCTGAAGAAAGAGCCCGCGGGCCAACTATCGCGTTCGCTTCGAAGCTTACGTTTACGAAGCCAAGAAGCGACGCAAAAGGATCGGTTAAGACGATCCCTACTAATACTGATGAGAACACTCAGAAGGATCTAACTCCAATTACGGAGAAAGGAGACAATCCGCTTAAGGGAGAGGATGAGAAGGAAAGCTCAGAGAGCCGACCCGAATCAGAATCAAACCAGCCATCGCACACAAGTAAGTTGATCGATGAGAACACTGAACTTATGAATCAGTTAGCCGCTCTTAAGAAGCGAATGACCATTGAACAGGCAGAGAAGATATATGAGTCAGGTGAGAAAGCAAAACGCTTACGCGAACATATTTCTCCAGGTACTACTCAAGCTCTTGAAAACTGGACCGCCCGTCAACTGGAAAAACCAGTCACGGACGAGCCCAAACTACCAGGTTTTCCGATAGCCTTCGCGGATTTAAACACCGAAGAGCAGACACTATTCACGCCAGAAGTATCCCCTGGAAACGAGTCTCCTATTCTCGAAGATATTATAAACCCCGAGACAAGAACGAAGACTCAGCAGGAGCTTCCCCATTTGGAAAAGGCCCCACGCCATGTACCAAAGTCTACGGGATATATTATCCCTATGCATCAAGACCCACAGGTGATTATACTTTGGGGCACATTCTCGAGGCACTAAAGCTGCCCGTAGGCGCGCCAACGACATCGAGTTTAATCGAGTCGATCGGCACGCTATTCATCAGCCTGCCGAAGATTTCCAATCTGAAGAGGTAACCGCGCTAAATCAGGCCGTAAATGATTATACTCTACAGATGGAGATAGCGCATGATTTACACAACGCTAGTGACGTCACCTACTACGCTAATCTAATCGTTATTAAGCAAAAGCGGATAGATCAACTACTGCAGGCTCAACGTGGGCAAGACCGCCGCGATAACCAGAAGTACAAGGGGCTGATCAGTCGACTTAAGTCAAACTGGGACACCAACAGCAATAAGGACTAGTTCATAAGTAACCATGATCGTCACCCTGACACGCACCTTAAATGCGTTCACGGTAATGTTGGAGACAAATGATATCGCTCCGCAACAGTGGATAGCTGCGTTAATGCAGTCATTTGACCCTGAGGGTACAAGTTATTTAACCCTACAGAGACATCTCCACGAACTAGACCAGTGTCGAAACTGGCCAGCAGTGTGTAGGTCAGTAACATCCTTGTTAAGTAAGGATATGCGCAGTCCAGGGCTGAGCTCGATTTTAGCCGAGCCAGCACCAAACACTACCACACAGAGCTACATATTGAAGCTCGATGCTGATTTGCAACGTCCCGATATTAAGAAGGACAAGATACAGCGATGCTACGAGTTCCTGGCTATGCATGTGTTCTGTCAGAACATGAGCAATAATGACCGAGAAAGTTTGTATACTGAACTTAGACGTAAGTACGCAAACGAACCTCGAGATTTAGGTCATGAAACAAAGTTTCATCTATCCCGACTTACGTGGGAACAATTTTATGATACTGTATCCACTTTGTATTCTTCCAGTCGAGTAACCTCGCAGGCGAAGGCGGTTGATAAGAAACCTCGGGAGCAGACCGATCAAGGGTACGTATCCATGTAGACCTCAAACGAGAGACCCCAACATAGACGTCCACGTGAATCTACTCAATTTACACGCCCTGTTCAGAAGGTGCGTGCGGAGCACAAGGAACCTGCATACAAGCAAGTTAAGAAATGTGCTGATGAGAAATGTGGTGATGACATGTACCAGTTAACCCCTAACGGTTACTGGAACGGAAAGCATGCCCAATCTTGTAAACACTATCTTACAAAATGTGATAAATGTGAGAAGACCAATGGCTACCACGCTAAATCGTGTGACGTCAGACCCGACATTAAGTTGGACTGACGATACTACCGCGTACAATCGTTACACAGACAGTACAACGACTCTTGAGATGAGCGTGTAATAATCCCTGTATATTGCAATGGATATAAAATCCTAA